AGCTGCCACGTGGCAGTAGAGATGGCCACGTGCACAGGCAACAGCGGCCAACGGGGAGGGGGGGCAAATAGCAACCCGGGCGCTGCTGCCATGCTGGGGGGGGGGGGGGGGGGGGGGGGGGGGGGGGGGGGGTTAAATAGCTGGCACATAACTCTTCAACAACAGTGTGCCGCTGTATAAGACCATATGCACACTGTGGCGAGTGTGTTATGGCAGAAGTACACGCATGCGCAAGCCCAGCAACTACATGGGTTCAAACCCCAGCAGCAACAGCATTTCGAATTTTGATAATATAATCCGGGAGCGGGGCGGGGCGGGGCCGTGTGGCAGCGTGGGCGCGTGGCGCGCGCGCGTGCCACGGCCTTGGCCTTGGCAAGCGCACGTGCTCATGAGCACTCTCCCTTTTTCGCCACGTGTCACCTTTGTGCTGCAACGTTTTTCTGCCCTCGTTTTCGTCGAAAAATGGTTATGAAACAGCCAAAAACCCGCCTGTCGGGTTTGGCTGTTTCCCCAGTTGTACGGGGTGGTGGGTGGGAGCGGGGAACGTTCCCGCTCCGATACCAATGTAGCGAACCCATCGGAAAGGTGCTCCGCCTGAGAAACAGATAGAGATGGAGGATGAGGGAGGAGCAAGATGGCACAACACAGCTCCCACACAAGACTCCAACGCACGTACTCCAAAATTGTGCAAGTGTAGAATGATCCTGAAAACAGACAATGGCTGGGGTATACCCCAGCGGACTGACGGAACTGGACTGGACTGGCTGGTGCCGACAGAGGTACCGATCTGGACTAGACTGGACTGCCCCCGAATAGAACATAGGCCTGTGAGAACAGGCCAAGGGGCTGGTCTCACAGGCCAACTAGAGGTCCGCTACACCTACCGACCAAGGCACTCCAAACACTTACTGACCGAGCTGCTCCAACCACCTACCGGCATAGCCGCTCCACCCACCTACCCACCGAGCCACTCCAAACACCTACCCACTGAGCCACTCAAAGCACCTACCCACCGAGCCACTCCAAGCACCTACCCACTGAGCCACTCCAAGCACCTACCCACGAAGCCACTCCAAGCACCTTCCCACCGAGCCACTCAAAACCCCTACCCCTGTCTCTTATACACATCTAGATCTGTCCACCGAGCCACTCCAAACACCTACCCACTGAGCCACTCAAAACCCCTACCCACCGTGCCACTCCAAGCACCTACCCACTCGGGTACCCCAAGCCCCTACTTACCGAGTCCCTCCAGGCCCCTACCGACATAGCCGCTCCACCCACCTACCCACCGAGCCACTCCAAACACCTACCCACTGAGCCACTCAAAACCCCTACCCACCGTGCCACTCCAAGCACCTACCGACCGAGCCACTCCAAGCACCTACCCACTAAGCCACTCCTGTCTCTTATACACATCTAGATGTGTATAAGAGA